CAAACCACTGAGGTTAGAAGTCAACTTCGTTAAGATGTATAAGATCCTGCACTCATTCCTGTTTTGTTGACGGATTTGAAAACAAAGATCGACAGGATCCAACTAGTGTCATGAAGCTCACAAATCCAGATTTTACTAGCTATCTTAGAAGTCTAGACTTTGTTGGCCACACCATCATTCCCGAGACTGACCGTTTCACAGAGCACAACAAAGTGGGTATGTACCCAAACCCCATAAGCATCGCTACTGGTCTCTACAGATGCCTGTTCTTTCTCTCACTTAACCTTGGTTTTTCAAAGAAGGAAGGAGTGAATATGTTGACAGCTGCTTTTTTTTCGGATTTTTCGATGAGGTGTCTCACAGACGTTTTTGCCGTAATCCGCATGAAGTTATTCCCTCTTTGGTTACTGCATTCATTCAAAACATGATTTTTTCAAGGAAGGAAGCTCAAGGAGGGAACACACTGACAGCTGCTTTTTTTTCAATTTTTTGATGAGGTGTCTCACAGACTTTTTTGCTTTGCAGGGTCTTCGATCTGAAGTGAATAAACATGTCACAGAGCAGCTGTCAAGTCATATTGGTCTCTGCTTTAAGTACATGAAAGAAAGGAAAGAGGGCGGAGACAATTCCTCCCAACAGCAAGCAGACCAGGAAGGAATGTTGGTTCAACAGCAACAAAAAGAAATAGTAATGAGTAATGAAGTGCACCATCTGAAACATCAACTTTGGAAGACCAAGGAAGCACCAATGAGACATGGGATGGCACTGCAAATGATCAAGTGAGTTTTGTGAGACCTGGAGTACTGATGATTTCTATTTGGAAGTTAAAAAGGTCAAATCATCTTTCAATATTTTCCGAGATTGCCCTTCCTTACCAATGGAAACAAAACCCATTTTACTTTTGGTACAAGTAGGACTGACATAAAATAAATTTAACATAGATAAGGTAGAAGCAATCTCAGCCTGAATTTTGTATTCCTGGTGCTACTTTTAAATTCACAATTTGACCTTGACTCTGAAATTGTTTTTACCAATGAATCACAATAACCTCACTGCCCCAATGAAAATTAAAGGTTGAAGAAGCAAGCAGGACGTTTTTGCGATGGAATATATACCTGGAGAATAGAAAAGTTCAGAGATTGTTTCCAAGATGCCATCGGTGGATCTTGCACAGCAAAGTATAGCCCTTCATTTTACACCAGTCTGTACCTTGGTTACAACCTGTGCATGTGAATTAACATGAATGGCATGGATGATGGTGTTGGCAAACACATGGCATTTTTCATTCATTTGATGCAAGACGATCATACTGATTTCTTGGAATGGCCAATTGCTAAAAAACCTTCAGATTGTTCATCGTGGATCGATCTGAAGACGAAGAGGTGCATTGTGATATCAGCAAAACCCTGGTGGCTGAACCCAAATGGCAAGCATGTCATCTTTGTATCGACCCATAAACTTCCATGTCAACAATAGAGAAATCAAACATTGACAGAACTTTTAATAACATTTAATTTAACAGGAAAACATG